GGTGGGAGCGGGGCTGAGCTGCGGGATGGGCTGGGGTCAAACGATGAGCCCAGGGCCGAGGAGTGAGCTGGGGGTCAGAGGGTGAGCCTGGGACAGGGAACGAACTGCGGGAGGAGTTGGGGATTGAATGCTGAACCGAGGGTCAGGCTGAGGGATCGCTTGGGGGTTCAGGACAACTTGGGGAGCACGACAAGAGCTGAGAGACATGGAGAGAGCAGAGGGAGCAGCTAGGGAACCATCTGCGTGTCAAGGGACAAGTTGGGAAATGAGCTGGTGATGAGGGTGCAGGGCACGGGAGCTGGATATCAGAGCTAGGTGGGACACGGAGCAGTGTAAGGGAACTGAGGGTTAAGGCTCATGGAGATGGAGACAGGAGACACTGTCCATTAGCCCCTGCTCCATTCATCTTGTTGGGGTTTTTTTCGGGGTCTGCAATGCGGGAGGGGGCTGTTTCCTTTATTGATTCCCTGCAGTTTCAGGCCCTCTCCTCTCTCCAGCATTTCCTGGCCAAAGGCTTGGTGCTCAGGCGTTTCCTTGGGACAGGGACTGCCTTGGCGGCCGACTGCGCAGCTGTGCAGTGCCCAGTGCCAAGGCCAGCACTGAGGAAGGTGTGCCTGGATCAGGGCTCCTGCACAGGGACGTCCTACATATCACAGTGGTAGCAGGACTTAATCCTCCTGTTATCATTTTTTATTGCACAAAGTTAGATATTGCAGCATGCTACCATCACTTCTGGGTATTCTTCCTTGTGTGGGGCTGGCTTTGCTCCATTGGACTCAATCGCCGTAATTCCTTACTTCAGCTGCTTTCACCTTCCCTGGGGGTTGGCTGTTGGATAGATGTTGTGAAATAAAGACTAAAGAAATCCATTGAGATTCATGTATAAGGGAAAAAAACCCATGAAGGAAATTCAGAGTTAGTGGGAGCCATGGATGTAAGGAAGCAAAAAAATCTCCTGCTATCTGCTCCTGCTGTGTTCCAGCTCAGCCATCACCTGGGATGGTGGTTTCCTCAGGCTGGTGTCCCCAGAAGTGGCAGGCTGGCAGCTGAATGTCCAACACACTCATTAAAGGTTTCTGTGTTCAATACCCATTTCCCCACCATTTTCCTATGTTCCTGATCTAATTGTAACAACAAAGCAGTCAAAAATTAACCCCCTTCCGCCTGGCCCAAACAGGCTCTTTGAGAAGGGTTTCTGGTGTCTGGCAACAGTGTTGCCCTACCTTACTTAGACAAGTGCTAAAACGAACATCATCCTCTTAAAATGTAGCATAGAAATGTCATTTAAATTTAAGCCATTTAAAACCAAAGGTAGAAATCCCATGTGTAGTGCAAAGCCTCTTAATGCAAATAGTCAGTCATGCATTGCATGCCTCAATCACACTCATATCGGTGTCATTTGTGTCCTAATAAAATCCTATAATCTTTTGCGTGCCAATTAAAGAAGGAAGATAGCTAAATCTAGCTGCTTCCTCGGGTAATTACAGGCTAGTGGGGAGCCAGACAGTTATCTGCCCGGGCTTTTGCAGGACTGTGGATTTCCAAAGGGTATTTCTTCTCCTGTTTCATTAAGTGACTGCATTTTTTTAAATGTGTGGTGTTTGAAAGGCACAACCAAGATCCCGGAGATGGGATGGGATGTTAATTAAAGGTCTCAATTTAGATACACCTAGTTTAACAATGGATTGGGTTTAACAACTGCATTTGCTTTACCAGTATTTTAAGGGACACTTTCTAGAAAGAAGCATTTGCACTGAGTTCACTAAGTTATTTTTACACTGGTGAGCCTGTCCTTTTATTTACAAGGTAATTCCTATGTTGTTTATAAGTACATCATAAGGGTAAGTCATTAAAAAGATAAACTGGGGCATTTTTAACAGTTCCTCTTGCTAGGACTCATCTCACTCCCATTGTGCTTTAGGCCCTCCATCATTAATATGCATTTCTAGTTACCTTTTTTTCATTCACTTCCAAATTTGCTGACCAACAAGGACAGTGGAAATTGCCTGTAAAGTTTCTTTCTTTATTTCCTGTCAGCAGGGTCATCAAGATTCTCATCCCATGTTTACATACAGGAGTTTAATGTCACTGGGAGCATAAACCAAAGGTGCCTTCTGGGGAAAGTTGTGAATACCATTATTTTTTTCAATTAATTCCACAAATTCAGCAGCACTATGATTGTCCATAACATGAGTTATTCTCATTTTTGTATATATATTTTTTCTTGTTGAAAGATGCAGCACAACGGTCATCCAAAGGAATTAACAAAATCAAGCAGTCCACATGGGAAAGGATGCCTCTGCTTGAAACTGCATCTCTGAATCAATCATGCCTTTCCTTCCACCAAGGCAATTTCGTGTTTTCAATAGAAGGCAGACCTACGGTGGTTTTGTTTCCCCCCAGCATCAAATGGCATTCTGTACAATGATATTCATCATGTTATAACTCTAGGTGAATGATAATGGATCAGAGGGAATGAAAACAGATGGATGTTAAAACAGACAATTCCCTGCCACAAACCTGGGAGCCCTCCACTGCTGCCTAGTCCATTCATTCAGTGGATAATTGTATTAGACATTCCAACAATAGAGAGGCCTTCTTCATTAATCCTGAATTTACTGAAAAGAAGCTTTGCAGACTATAGCCCTTTCGGTGCTTAGACAACATCAGGCAAAATTTACCGCAGGCTTAAATGTCTAAAACTCAACTGGATAGAAACTAGCGCAGAAAATTCCAAAAGCAAGAGAGATGGGTGAGCGAGGCCAGGGCACAGGACAACCCAGGAGCAGCACGCAGGTAGGCAGGGGACACGAGCAGAGCTGCAGCTCAGGTGATGCCAAGGAAATTTATTGAAAAGCTTTCCTCTGGCTGGAGTGCAGGCACAGCTGAACTGACCAACATTGGACATGGGTTTGAGCTGATTGTCCCTTCCCAGGCTCCAGCTCGCCACATGAGCCAGTGAATGCCAATCCCTGCCATGTGATGGGGCACAACCGTTCTGTAACCCTGTGTGCATCAGGTGACTGGGGCTAAGCAATACAGATCAGGTCTCTTACCAGCTGTCCTGTGAGTCAGACCTTGATTACAATATTGACATTAACATTTTAATCACATGCATGCTGCTGCGGATTTTAATGACAAACGTGCTATGCCTTTGCTGTTTGAGGATCAGAAATTGGACCCTGGTTCATAGCTGGAGTGAGTGTGGCATCAGAGCAGCAGCAGCCACAGCAGTAAACGTGGCATTGCTCTTGCCACCAGCCTGCCCCTGGACATTAACCCTGCTGGCACTGAGCACCTCGCTGGAACAGGGACTTTGTTCTCAATTACTCTGTTCCTGTGTCTGGGGCAGTACTGGAAGTTATGAAGAAGGAAAAAGGCGGTGCTTTTGTATCCTCTGTAGCCTGAGGCAATGTGAAAATCTACCCAATCCCTGTGTAACTATCATTTTCGATTCACAGGTACTTTAATCAGGGCAGAATAATCCAGAGATATTTCCTTCTTCCAGTGGAGCTGGGAGCAGGGCTGCTACTATAGTTTTTGTGCCCAGTGCCATCAGAGTGAGGTGAAGATAATTCAATGCAAATGAGAATCATGCCCCAAATCTGTGTTGTTCCTCTCACCCAAAACACACTCCACAATCTGTTGTAAATGCTGCAAGCTGAGCCTGCAAGGCTTTGCTTTGTTAAAGACTGTCATGTCCAAGGTGGAAGGACAACCAAAAGGTCACAATAAATAAACTGAATACAAAATTGCTTAAGGCAATAAAAGGAGACCACAGACTTTCATTACAGCTCTGACATGCACCAGGAGACACTTCAGGATGTTAAATAAGCTAGGGTTTGTGTCGATGGGCTTCGTTGTTTTCTGTTGTTTCTTTCCCTGCTACACCAATACTTTGCCAAAACAATCAGGCCTTAACTGCTTGGTATCCCTTTCACAAACACGGGCTGCCTCTATCACTTGCTTCATCACGGTCATTTGCACTGAAAATACATAATCACTGTCAGAGTACAAAGAATCATTACGAATAATTAGTTACTTCCAATATGGCAAGTCAGTCTCATAAATCTTGAATATTTGGCTTTGGTTTTGGAAAGAGATTCCTTAATGGCTACACTTGTGAGACTCTGTTAATTGATATAAAATTGTATTCAAAATTAAATTTGTTTCAACAGATCTAAATCACCCCAATAAATCAGTTTCAGCCTATCTGCTCTAAGGGTTCAAGTACAATTTTTTTTTTTTTTTTTGCCTTTGGGAGAAACTGTGAGCTTGCAATCAATGCTTACAGAGCTGCATCTGACCCTCCCCTCGTTGACTAATTGCTTCCATATGCTGACACGGGGTGATTTTGCTGGTCTGAGGAGTCATAAAGGAGGGGGTGGGAGAGGCAGCCCCTCTGCCCAGCCCAGCCCTCCTCTCCTGCCAGGCTGGGGTGTGGGGAGCAGGGGCTCCTGTCCCAGCTCACCCTGCGTGTGAGGAAGGCATTGCCTGCCTCTGCTCTGAGTGGGCAAAGGAGAGGAAATTTTAATAAGAAAGAGAAGGAGTTCAAGTCTATCTGTAATAGTCAGATATTGAGGATTTATGCTATTACAGGTAATAGCAGTGTGAATGGTAGCTCTTATGATGCTTTTTTTCCTTCTTCAGAGAAACTGTCTTTTTCATCTGATATCATGGGTGAAAGAAGGTGAGAGTTAATAACAATAGCTTAATTTTACTTGACTGTATATACTCTATTTAGCTTCTGAAATTGTTTCAGGACAGGATGTTATTATCTTTATCCTTGCTTTAAACCACAGAAATGGAGCTCGAGAAACAAAAGCCCAGTGTTCCTCTCCCATAACATCTTTAGTAGGCTGTATTCCTCACCTATGCAGGAGTGAGCCCAAACTCTGTGATCCTGTGTGGTAAAAATCTGTTGGAAGAATTCCTCATTTGCATCCTGTCTGCATTTGCTGTCTGTTATCTTAAATATCTCTCTAAATTTTTTTTTCTTTTCCTCCAGAGATTCTTTTGTACCTACTTCATCTCAGTAAAGCTTTCCCCTCCCCTCTCACAGCTATATTTCTGCTCTCCCTGGAGTGGCAGCCCTGGGAAGGGGAAGCTCCATGGCTGGGATTTCCATGGCATGGGCAGCTCTGAGCTCCTCTTGCCTCACCTGGGAAAAGCCTGCAGAGCACCCTGCCTGCTGTCAGGCCCTGCTAATGCTGTGTCTTGCTTGGCTAGGGATGCCTGAATCCTGTTGGGCTCAGTCATCTATTTAATGATGCTTTTGCTTGCCTTTAAAATGTTGTAAGTGCACAGCCACCGTCCTCACTGCTTGCTGTGTCCTGGTGCAGGGTGTTTAGGGGGGAGTAAAAATCACCATCTTTTCAGTTTTATTGGGTGCAAGTGCTAAAAATTTTCCTTGGGTAGAAATTGCTTCTGTTTCCAAGTGTCTTGTAGGTTGTGCTCATTTTATTCTTATGTTTGTTAAAGCAATGTGTTCCATTTTAATCCCTTAGTGCATATTATTAATCAGCTCATGCTTCAAAGAAAAAAAAATTAAAAATTTGCAAATCAACCGGAAAGAACCCTCACCCACCCACCTTGGGAAACCTGAAGGTTAAGACTCTAAGTATGGTTTTGTGTCCTAAGCCTGGAAAGTGAGGAGAAAGCCAGTAACAACTGATTCAGAGAAGGTATATTTGGTAGTCTGCAACTTGCAGACCTCTCCTAATAAAGGCTGGCAGGGTGTGCAAATGGAGCTTAACACATGGTCATGATAAACAGGTGCTGAGACATTTCTGCAGCATTTCTTTCACTAATATTTTGTCTCTTTAAAGCAATCGTCAGGAAGCTGTCATCTTAATTACAGAATCTGGGAGTGAGCTATTGACTAGTAGCTGTGTAACTTGTTAATAAAGGCTTCCCTGCAGTGGGATTTTGGCCCTCTGTGCACCAGCAGCAGGCTAAGCACTGAGGGAGGCTGGCAAAATCACAATGATGCATAATTTACACTGGGTCAAGTTACTGTTCATGGCAAGCAGATGAGCTGGACAAGTGTTAAACAGGGCTTCACCTTCACTGCTGTCCATGCCTGTGAGGGGAAATTTATTCTCAGAATGGAGGAGGCTTAACTAATTACTGCACAGTTGTATGTCCTGGTGTCTTTGGGTCACCAGACCAACTTTGCACAAACCAAATCAGAAGTGGGCTCAAAGAGAGAAGAATATAATAGCCATAAGGATTGGCTTGACTGCCTGGAATAATTTTGCAAAGAGAAAGGTAGAACTGGAAGTTAGATGAAAGGAAAACAGGAAAGATGGGAATGGCTCTGTTAGAGTGAGTGTGTAATAAGGACTGAATTATTCTGAACACAGAGAATTTTTACATGCACTTTATACTATTGCTAATCTTTTGTTGTCCTTGATCTGATTTGCTGATTTAATTTCACTTCTGCAAATGAAGCAAGGAGCCTCAATTTATTGAGGGGGCTGTGAAGGCCTTTGGAAGGGAATGTATTGAATTTCAGAAAGCATTTTCCAAGAAGGTAGCCTGCCACAGTCTTGTGCTGTAGGACTTCCTTTGGAAGCATATATTTCTCCCCCATAAGTCTTTTGAACAGTTTAATACCACACATGTTTCAGGAGAATGAAATCAATAACAATCTGTACCTTTCTAACCTGAAATGCAAGCTCTGCACGGCAGGAGATCAAGCTATGCAATTAACTGTTGTCCTTTCAAAGGAATTCTGACAGATATTTATAGTTTACTGTATTCCATTTTCCTGCCATTGGAATATAACAGTACAACTGAATGCAGCTGACTGGAACTATGAAATAATTATAGCAATAACTATTTCCTTCTCTACTGGGGAAATCTTGTAAAGTGCTGCATGTGGGAACTGCTGATGTTCTTGCCCCTCAAAATCCGGTCCTTACCTTCAGTTTATCAGGCATCCCTGGCTAAGTCACCCAAGAGAGAGTTTTTGTTCCATTACCTTCAGCTTTTCCTAAAGTCATGTTCTGAATCTCACGCTCATCTTGATGTGGAATGAATCAACACTGTAGAAATAAATGCACTTTAAAAAGCTTTCTGTATTTGTGCATGGACAGTGTATGAAGTAGAAAGACCTCTCTGTAGTAAAATAAGTCATATCTTTGTGTGGGAGTTTGGAGCAGTCTATTAAGATGAAACTATGCAATATTACCAGAAGTGAATAGATTGGCATTTGACTGCTAAGCACTTTGCAAATTTTGATATAAAGGCACTTATTTTATACCCTGAGCTGTAACTGTAACTTATGTGCTCGTGCTGGTGACTTAGTAGCATAATGACAGACCATTGTTACTGAGCTAGTTAGTTTTAAGCAATCTTTCCTAACAGTATGCTTGAGGATGACATTCATTTGCTGCAAACTTATGAGACATTGATGCATCAGGAAAATAGTGATGCTGAATCTTAGTGGTACCTCTCTTGCTGGCTCAGTATGAATGTCTTACCAGGGGGCAGTTGCTGTGTTGGACAGTTTAGATGCCTCTTGCCACTAGTAATGCCCTCAGCTATTTAGCTAAAGGCTGTAAACTTCCAGCTTTAGGGCTGTAAACCTGCAGAGGAGCACTGCAGCTTCCAGCATATGGTGGGATTTAATCATTGCATTGCCACATGGCCATTTCTGTCACTCTGGTTGAATGTCTGCAGATGCTTCCCAGGACTTTGCAAACCAGGATCAGCTAGATCTGGTGCTTTGGGGAGCTGTGTGGAAGGGGATTGTGGTGTCATTTAAAAAACCCAGAAGCTCAGAGTAGGACAAGTAGAAGTGGAAACGTGTCTTCAAAGAAAGTGTTGGAATTATTTTCCTAATGATGTTTACCAAGGTGTAGTAAAGAATAAGTGTCCAGATGCCCTCCACCTCCACCCATGTGGACTGGGCATGAAGTTAGCCCCTCCTTCCAACATGAAAAGAATGAGAATAGGGAAGAGAAACTGTTCTCACTTTATTCTCACAGGTGGCACGGACAGCTTGTGGCTGTTGAGTAATACTGTATTGTGCAGCTGCCTTAGAAACTGGTGGTACTGAGTCATTCCCAGGTAATCATTTTGTTTTGGAGTCCCCCCAACTTGTATTAAGACTGGGTGGATAAGTGGTGGTACTGAAACATGAGGATAAATTCAACATCCGCCTCTCCCAAGTTTGCATTTTTTGGAACTGCCATAAATGTGAAGTCCGCTAGAAGGAAAGAAGTGAAGGAAATGGAGAACATCCTCTAAATTAACCAGATCTGGGAGCTCCCCATGTTTTTCCATAAGGGGCTCTGGAATGCAGCTGCCTGACCCTCTGGTGTAGTAAAACCTTAATCTGTGTGACTCAGCTTCTGGAAGTTTGTGCACAGAGGGCAGGTTTGGGGTTTCTGCACAGGGAGCTGGTGTGTGTGTGTGCAGATCAATACCAGAGCCGAGAACTCTCCTCCTGAGAGGCCTGGAGCAAACAGTACATTATTCATGTGCTCCTCTCCTCTTTCCTGTGCATTATGTAAATACTAATCAAGGTGAAATTGGACTTGGTTTATTTTTGCAATATCCAAGCAGAAATTACTCTAATGGTCTTCTAGAGGGGTCCTGAGCTTTTCTAAGTCTTGGGCTTGGGTTTTCTACTGCATGGGCTTCAGGCAGAGCCCCTGTGTAGGCTCATAGCTGACTGTTGGAATCCCAAGAGCTGGTGCTCTGTTGTTCCCAAGCCTTGCCCTCTCCTTTGCCTACAACAGGAATGTGAAAAAGACCATGTCCTGTCCTGCCACTGCCCTCTGACCACAGCTGGTGGTACTCTTCTGATAAGCAGCAGCAGCTTTTATTCCATTTATCCAGCATTTTGTTAGCTTTACATCTTCTACCCCTCGTCCTTGAGTTTTTTGCTTTGTGTTTATGACTCTCTCAGTGAGGTGTTTTTTTTTTTTCCCAGTTCAGCTGGGAGCAGGGGATTTCTCTGGGAATGTTTCACAGCTTTCAATTTGTTTTGTGGTTTCAGCAGTCTGGTGTTGGTTGTTCGTGTTTACTTACTTACAGCACTGCTGTATTTTTTCACCTGTCTGTAGATCTGGGAAAAAAAGGTGCTTTGCTGGCAGAGCTGCCAACCAAAGTCTCTTGTTCTTGTGTGGTGAGAGCTGGGGCACTGCAAGGCTGCCACGAAGTGCATGGGTGTGCCTGCTGAGCAGGGCAGCTATTAGTTCTGTGCATGATGATGGTTTCTGTGATGTGCATGACTTTCTCTGTTGGGAAATGAACTGTGAACACCTACTCATTTTTCATAGGCCAAATTACAGTGCTGTTTCTGCTCTCTGAATTGCCTACACCTCAAAAAGAACGTCCCTAGGATCCTTTAGTGCAATAGTAATGAAATAGCTGGGGCTGAGCAGCTCTCCTGTTAGCAGAAGCCACCTCTATAAATTTAGCCATTTGCTTTCTGCCTGGCAGACTTCTGATGCACTTGATGTACTTCTTCACCCTTTTATTTTTTTACACTCAAGGTAGCCTTTGTGTGCTTGTTGCTCAAGCTTTAACTGTGATTAAACCAAAGGAAAAGATTTTGGAATCAGTGAAATTTTGCTTAGATTTCT